GGCAGCAGACCTGGTGTGGACGGGCCCGACGAGGAGCGCCAGTTTGTCCGGGATCATTTTAGCTCATGAAAGTATAATGTGCACGTAGGATTTAACTTAAAGACCAAGAGAAAGAAAAATAGTTCTGATAAATTGATCATTGTAATGACGAAAGTGTCAGTTTCTACCTTGCCAAGAGCTGTAATTTATTTAAGTTTTCTAGGTAATTTTCTGACTTTTATAATCAAATGATCAAAGTTATGGGACAGATTTATAGATCAGGAGGAGTAGAGTTAGTAGAAGCCCTTGTTTGACAATTAACCCATAAAACAGTTACCCGATGGTCCCAGAGCCAAAAACAAAGGAAAACACTTCCCACAATATATGGAATCATTTTGACTGGGAATGCACCAGTTATGAAATTCTGGACACGTAACCATGTTTAAAATAAGAAACAGCTGATCATTTTTTTTCACCTCATTTTTGGGATCAAAGAAATCTCCCTGCTTTGCACGGCTCGGAGTGCAGCATTAACGAGACATGTCGGTGCATATAAGGTCATTTGTTCTTAAGTCATACATATCCATCCATGCAGCAGCTCTGGTTAGGTTCCCCGGCCCTGTTAGTGAGCAGGCAGCAGACATGGAGGAAGCTTCACGAGTCCTTACTGGTCTGTCAGCACAGCCGCTAACTAACAGCGCAGACGCTGCTCTAGTACTGACTGCTGTTGGAGGCGGTTTAGGTGGAAGCCGCTGGGTCTGTGCAGAGGCGGGCGCCGCCGGCGATGTTAGATCAACAAACTCTGACAGGTCAGTCAGCAGCTGGGGAACAAAAGGAGCCAACCAATCAGACCAGAGCACAGAGCACGCCCAGTGGAGCTCTACAGGTGAGAGAGGAGCTGTAGCTAGACAGACATGACAGGTGGAGTCTAAAAAGATGAGACACACACAGAGGGGACAGACTGAAACCAGCCCAACGTGTTCACACAAGCACAACATCTGTAATCCCAGATTAATCACTTCAGCACCAGCAAAGCCATTTATGTAGATTACAGGCCTTATAGCTGTTTTTTAGTCAGTTAATGAATATCTTTGCAGCTTAAGAACATTTTATGAAACCGATTTTAAAATATGTTATTTTGACTTTTTAAATGAAGATTATCAAGTATTACTTTGTTTGTAATTTTACTCATTTTCTCTTCATTTAATTGATGCATTAGTGTTCTTACAAGTCATTTTAATTTTATCATTTCAGGATTGATTTTTATTTTATTATTAATTTAATGTTATTAACAAACACAACATTAATGATAAATGAACCCTGACATTTGTTATTTTGGCCGGTTTAAGATCATTTTTGGGGTTTTCGTAATGACTCAAAGTTGATTCACGGCTACCCAAATCTGGGGGAAGTGATACCCGTTTGTTTAGGTGCTGAAAATTCACCTTAATGTTGTACCAGTGTGAAATTAATGTTTTAGGAAATAAACAGCAAACAAGTGTGGAATGAACGTGTTAAATGAAAAAAAGACTCAAAGACTATAAAGAACTACAAACACTCCACACCAATGAGGAGAATCATTGCAAACGCTACAGCGATTCTTTTCGCTGCGCTTCAGTTAGCTCCCTGGGAACCACCACCACCACAGCAGGACGGAGCCTGCAGACAAACATCAGCAGCTGCTTACCTCAGACACTGTTTGGGCTCCCTAGGGTTCAGGCGACGGGGAGAGGTGGGAGAGGAGGGAGAGAAGCGAAAAATGAATGGGGAGTCTTTGAGTGAGTTTGTGTGTGAATAAAAACAGCAGGGAGGCCGGAGGGTAGGAGTGAGCACCAGCGGAAAAGGGAACAGGATTCCCACAGGCAAGCGTGAGACTCAACTGAGGCATTATCAGCGTTTTCTTCATCTCATTCTGGATGATATGATTAGTTAAGCAGTGCCTGTAGGAAGCTTCTGTAAATGATGCACCACAACAAACACTCGACATGCTGCTGCCAGTCCTACTGACCCACAGGGAGGCGCTGATGTGTTTTAAACTGACCCAGCATCTCTTGATTGGCCTGATTTTGAACCCTGAAGGAAGTCTAGCATCCTCTTTACATCTCACGTCATCTAAAAGTTAATATTTGAGCATGGGAAACTAAAAGAAGTGTACTATGAAGCCATAGTAATGGCTTCTTTAGCCCTCTTCAGCTTATAATCAGAGCGTTCAATGTTAGGACGGTGGCTACATCACCATGGTAGGCAATGATAAGTCACCTCTGGATTTCTAGGATGAACATACTTCTTTAACCTACGCGATTGTCTTTACCGTACACGGCTCTGCACATTTATACACGTACGTTTTTATTTTAAAACATGTAACTGCGTGTACTTTCTCAAAACGTGCGCCATGCTCATAAAGGTTTTAGAGACAAACACTGGAGGTAGCACACCTGAGAGCAAAGTGAGAGGTTTACATTTGCATGGTGCACTCACAGAAGCCCCTATACTGCATTTCAAATATGTTCCTAATATTTCGTCCACGTGTTTAAGCGCCCATGCTGGTCGGTATTGATCACATCAGCGCCTGCGTGGCAGTACAAGCTCTCCGTGCTGTGTGAGGAAGGCAGACCACCAGAGGCATAACATATTCAGGGTTAGAGGTAAAGAGCTAGCACCCCGACTGTAGCCATGTCACTGCATTCATGCATGCTTCCGTCCAGTCAGCCAATCACATGAGAGCATAAATAAGCCATTCTTTGACCACAACATGCAAACTGCAAATAAGAGCTCAAACCAGCCACCAGTGCTAATGTTAGCTGCCGCTAACAAGGTCAGCCCCCTCCAAGCTAAACAGTACAAGGCGAGCTAATGGTTAGCGCGGACCGGCCCCGGCACACAACGTGGCCTCCGTGTCCACACCAACCCCCGAAAACTCACCGCATTCCTGCCGGTCATCCTGCACAGTGCGTTAGAGATAATGGCTAACATGGTTTTCATGCTACACACGGAGACGACCAAGAGGACCGGAGCCCGAAGAGGATTAACGAAGGATGCTCCGTGTTAGTGTACGCGCAGAAAACGGCGCCGACTCCCACAGTCCCACACAATATTGGTTCCGGTATTTATAGCTAGACGACAACTAGAGAGGCATGTTTACGCCCCACTATTACCCTTAATCGCTAATCATTGTAATTTATTTTAACAAGTTAAACGTTAGTAATTAATTTTAAACCCTGGCTCGACCTGCAGCCTCCACTCAACGATAGATTAAATAAATAGTTCATTATTTTATTTTTTTGTTTGGGAAATTATTTTTTAATAACAGATTATTTTGAAAGCCAAAGATTTGGTTATTTTTCTTGCTTTGACCCTGTTCTGAGGTTTCCTTAGCTGTGCACTTTACAGATCATAGATGACAAACAGAAAATAAAAGTCATCAAAAAGCTAGCATTGGTTGTGTGGTGTGGTTATCTTTACCGAACTGTTGGTAAGTGACATACATCAGGCCGTTGTCACAAACATTATTTACTGCAAACCAAGAGGTTAAACATGTCAAAATAAGAAACGCTGCTGTGTGTTAACAAGGCAAAGCTGCTGGTTTCTCATATTTACGTGGCAAAATTAACCAGTGATCGAGCGTCAGCTGTACAGAATGAAATAAAAAGAAACACACAGGAACAACTGTAACACCGAGATAAATAAAACTTTTTTATTACATTCGAGTAAATACACCAGTTAAGGCCAGATAATTGACACCCTTGTTCTTTTTGCAGCAGCATCATAATAAAGTGTAAAAAAGAAAAGCTGTTTGTGCGTGTAAGCAACAGTGAGATATAAAAACGTAACACGCTGTATCGTAACACCGAGGAGTCGAAGTGAATGAGGTTATGATGAGAAGGGCTGGAGTGCTTACCTCGTTTTCTACAGTTGAGAGGCTGTAACACTGACAAGTGGGGAAAATGATAAGAGTATAAAATAGAGAAACATGGGGGGAAAAGCATCTGCTGTAGTGCGCCAAACACATCAATTTGTAAACCTCCAGATCGACTGAAGCAACAAGATTCAAACAAAGTGCCTGTGGGCTGTTCAAAATTCAGAAACCGTGATATAAAAACATGTCAGAACATAAAATTCATTCATTATTCTCATCAACACTGAAACACTTGGAGCTCGGCATCTGGATGCTGAAAGGCTTCAGTTTGACGCCTCAGCACGCCACGGTTTGGTCAAAGTGTCTCTTTCCGTCCAGGTACAGCATCGACTCTGTCAGACACACAAAACATCCACATCAGTACACACAGCTGTTCTCCTTCCTTTCAGTTTGATCTTTGAATACAGAACAAGTCAGATCTGTAATCCCAGATTAATCAACAACTCTATGTGCAGGATTTTTTTTAAGTTTTTAAAGTTTGGCTTTTATTCGGTGGCTGTGGAGGAGCTAACATCATGGGTCACCTGTAGATTAACCTGCCAGCATAGGCTGCACCCAGTGAGTAATAAAATTGCAACAGGTTGTCATGGAAACCTGAAAAAAAGCTGAAAATGCTGCTGAAACATCTACTATTCCTAGTTTTTAAAACGTGACACAGTAAATGTCTCAGTAGAAAAGAGTGAGTCAAAGCGAGAAGTGCCGATCAACGAACACGTGATCATAACAACCAGCAGCTAAATTAACATTTAACAACCGTTTTAATAGTTGATTTCTTTCTGCACTGAACGTGGAAGTTTGTTTGATTTATTCTGAAAGGAACTTACTGACATGGATATAAATCAGATTTCTTTTTTTAACTGTTTCCTGTCTGCACCGGCTCACCTCCATAAGTCTTGGGCATGATGTTGGGGACGTCGCGGTCTGAAGTGAAGGTGAAGTGGAAGATGTTGGTGGTGTTGTGCTGTCGGGTCAGCGGGTCAAACACCTCGCTGTGAACTCTGACCTGGACGTACGTGCCCTGAGTGTAACACACCTGAAAAACAAAGACACAAACAGCCGAAGCACAAAAAAGACATAAAAACGTCATTTATCCTGCTCATGTAATTATTGTCCTCATTTTTTGTCTCGTGTCTCCTGTTCCAGTGGTGGATGCTCATATTAAAGGTGGACAGAGAAACGTGTTGCTTAATTCTTGTTTAGCCAATCAGAGGAAAGTTCGATTAAAGGAGGCGGGGCTAAAAAGGCCAGTTTTAGAGACAGGATTCACTGAGAGGCTGCTCCAAGGTGTCAGAAAAATCAGGATTATTTTGAACTTTGAATCATCCAAAGCTTCTCTAGCAAAGTCCAAGTATAAGAATATGGAGCAGTAGAGGTGACCTCCGATAATTCAGTTCAAAACATCTTCATTCTTGGTCTAATCTCAGTCACAAAAACACATGTAAAAAAAACATCTAGTTCCTATGATATCATTTTTTACAAAAAGTGCTGTAGGTGTAAAAAGTTAGCAAATAAACATCATCTTACATTCCTCTTAAAGGACAATCACTTTAGTTTAGCTCCATTTTTGGTCTCCATCAGCTCCAAGTGAAATATTTCACTTTTTTAATCTAACTCCTCCCTTTTTTTCCCATTGGCTGGCCTCTAACTCTGAAAGCCATACAGGTAGACCACCTATAAAGAAGATGCTCTGACCTGCGATGAGAGCATCAGCAAAGATCCAATCTCCACAGGTTTCTGGAAGAGGATATCATCGACAGCCACCAGACTCGGCCGACAACCCCTGCAACACACGGCAAGGAGCAACAACATTTACAGCAGTTATTCTTTGATGTTTCTTTAACCCTTTAGTCTAAATGTCTCACCCGTAGGAGCAGGCGTTGGCCCAGCCGAGCTCGTAAGCTTTCCTCATCAGAAAACCTCCAAATATCCTGTTAAAGATGTTCCTCTCCTGGTCAACACAAACACAGAAACAGGTTTTTTAAGTTTTCCAGCTGAAATAATTTAGGGTTTAAACTGGGAACATAAATGAAACTGGAAACCACAAAAGATCCATTTTCCCCATGTAAACGTAGCTGCTGGTATTTAGGAAAAAAAGAAACACAACTCAAGGAAATATCCAAGTAAAGAGTTCATATATATACAAGGTGTGATTACAAAAAGCTTTAGGAATCTCCCCTTCAAGACCATCTCCTCTGGTCTACACAGCTTCCAGCATGAATCCTTAAAAGTCGTGTTCCTGAGTCCTCAGCTTTGCACTGTACGCTCTTTATTTTCTCCACGAACTTCAAACCTCAAACTTCTGTTGATCAACATAAGCCGTCTTTCATGTGGAGGAACATCGCTGATGTAGAGAGTCGAGTCTCCGGCTATGACAGAGCAGCACATCGGGTGGACTCGCATTGTCTTGCTTTGGTACAAACAGCTCCAGAGGCTCCAGTTAAATCTCCAGGGAAGACTTAAAAGGCTGAATTCAAGTTAGAGGTGCACGAGAAGATGATCTTCAGTGGGAAAGTGACCAGAAGTACATTACGTAAACTGGCTTTTCAATCACACCTTGCATATATTCACAGCCTAAAATGAACCTCAGTGTAGAAATAAATTCTCCTTCTTATTATTTATCCGTCCTCTCACCTGAGGATGGCAGATCTCCAGTCCTTTCAGTTTGGCATCTTCCATCCACACTGAGTTTGGGGGCAGAATTCTGCTGCGGAAACTGACTGTGCTGCAGAAACATCCACAGAGATTTAACAGAGTATCTTAATATATGAAGCAAATATAACATCCTCATGATATCCTGTGATGTTTCAGTCGTACTTGGTGTCCAGGGTGTTGAGGAAAAGGCCGTGAACGACCGTCCTCTCGTCTTGTGTGGGAGCGACCTTCAGCAGCGACGCAGTGCTCAGCTCCACACGGCGGGATTTGTTAGCTGGAGGAGAGTGAGCGTCAAGATCAGCATGCAAAAAGACTAAGCTCTTCATAAAAGCTGCGATTGTTTCATCAGCTCTCACCTTCGCCTTCCTGCAAGAGTCGTTCTTCCTCGGGTCCTTCAGGCGTCAGTGGATTTACAAACGCTGCCCTGAAAAGGGAAAAGAAGCAGAAACACAGAGTATTAAATAAGTATGAGAGAAACACAGCATGAGTTTACCGTGCCACTTTTAGGACTGAGAAGCAAAGCTCTGTGCAAAAATAAATCTGCACAGGAAATGAGAAATAAAATGATTTCCGTGCACATAATTAGTCCTCAATGAAAACACTTTCTCGATGCAGAGAGCCAAAACAAACAAATGTAATAATGCAAAATCTCCTGAGGCAGCACACGAGCAGAGGACAGAATCCAGATGTACAGTGCTGGGCAGAGAGCCCCTCATAGTTATTAATCCCAACTCTTAAATCTCTGTGAGGTAAGATACTCAGAGGGTCGATCAGATCTATGTCTCTTGGACCCTAACAGCCTCTGCAACATGGAAACTATAACGCTACTTTCATTAACCCCCAAACTGTGTTTCGTAGGCAAATAAAATGACTTTTGGTTCTGTTGAACACAACTATGTCAGATTTTCAAAAAAAGGGCCCTGGGATCTAGAAATGGGATTCTCTAAACTCGTGTTTTTTCAAAATAAAAGCACTGGCACTGTACAGGATGTAATACCTCTTGTTTCCTGGGTCTCGGGCCACCATGACGAATGTAGCATCCAGAACGGAGGCGTACGCTCCGTCACGGTACTGCAGGAGAGACAAACACTTGGTTTTTATTTACACCACCAGCGAGCATAAACAGGGTTAAGACTCTTCATTTAATTACTCTCTTTGTATATATTGCATATAGTCGAGTAAGCAGGTTAGGCGAGCCCACCTGTGACATGTGGATCTTGGCTTCAATGGAGGACTTCCCCACCCACGTCACATGACCTGTGAACTTGATGTCGCAGTCGGGGTAGATGACGTGCTGCCTCATGTCTGAACAAGCGCGCGCGCGCACACACACACACGCACACACGCACACACACACACACAAAGATATTAGTGGTAAACAAACCAAAGTGGTTTATTGTACCCTGTACCTGAGAGATTCTTACCGATTTTGTCCACCAGGGCGGTGACAATAGACAGAGGAGACCTCTTTAGTTCTGAGTTGTAGGTGTGAGAGTAAGAGATGAGGACTGAGGAAGAAAGAAGAGGAGAAATTACAGTTAGGTCCATAAATATTTTGATTCTCTACATTACCACAGTGAATTTGAAATGACCCACATGCAGACTTT